TGTCATCTGTGCAGAAGCTTTTCTTTGCTCAGTCTTTGCTCAGGAGCTAGCGGGGCTCATTGATAGATCTTTAAACTAGACACAGCAGGGGAAGGGGACAGTATCAGGCTTGCTGTTGTCAGGCTGTGGAATGACACACCAAGGTTACAGGGACAGGATGCAGACAAGGGCCCTCAGCCAGTGGACCTGTGGTGTTCTGGCCACACTGGAGCACAGCTGAAGTCATATGGAGACAAGCAGGGGCCCCTGAGGTACTAGAAGCCAAGAGGGAAACCCCAGTGAAATATCTCACTGAAATTAAGGGGTGTTTCTCTAAGAAGGCCACTCAGCTGATGCACAGCTGAGGTGCCTTTACACCAATGAACAAGGTGTGGGTGACAAACAGGAGGAGCCGGAAGCCACTGTGCTGCTAGAAACCTTATTGCCATTACTGAAACTTGGTGGGACAAATCTCATGACTGAAGTGAGGCTGTTGATGACTACAGGCTGTTCAGAAGGGACAGGGGAGTAAGGAGAGGCAAAGGGTTTGCTCTCTACATCAAGAGGTGGATTGACTGTGAGGAGCTGTTTCTGAAGAATAGCTGTGAGCGGGTTGAAAGCTTATGGGTGAGAGAGACCAAGACAATAGAGGGAACCTCATGGGTGGCATTTACTACAGGTCACTCGATCAAGGGCAGCCTATTGACAAAGGCTTCATGCTCCACTCACAGGAGGCATCACACATGCGGGCTCTCGTCCTGCTGGGAGACTTCAACCACCCTGACATCTGCTCGGAAAGTAGTATGGTGAGCTATAGGCAATCCAGTAATCCTGGAGTGCATTGAGGATAATTTTTCAGGCCAGGTAATAGACAGTGCCATCAGAGAGGATGTGATACTAGACCTGCTGGTCACTAACACAAGTGATCTGGGCCATCAAAACTGGGGGCAACCTGGGCTGCAAGGAGAGTCAAGTCAGAACCATGAATTTTAGGAAAGCAAACTTCCAGGTTGTCAAGGAGTTAGTCAGTAGGACCCCTTCGTAAGCTGCTCTGAGGGACAAGAGAGCAGAAGAGATGTGGCAGATCTTTAAGGATGCTTTCTGTAGAGCACAAGAACTAGTGTTCCCAGGAGCAAAAATTTAGGCAAGGAAGAGACCAGCATGGCTGAGTCAGGACCTGCTGATCAAACTAATGGACAAGAAAGAAATTCACAGGCAGTGGAAGCAGGGACAGGTGTCCTGAGAAGAGCGTAGGGATGCAACCCAGTTGTGTAAGGATGGGATGAGGAAGGCCGAGGGAAAGCTGCAGCTGAACTTGAGAAGGGTCACAAAGAATAACAAGAAGGACTTCCGCTGGAGTGTTATCCAGAAAAGGGAGGTCAAAGAAAGTGTTTACCCCCTTGATAAGCAAGGCTAGCAAACTGGTAACAAGGATGAGCAGGCTGAGGTACTCAACAATTTTTTGTCTCAACCTTCACTGGCAGCTTCTCTTCCCACACCTCTCAAGTGGATAGACTGTAAAACAGGGCTGGGGGAGCCAGGCCTCTCCCCCTATAAAGAGAATCAGCTTTGTGACCATGTGAGGAACATCAGCATATGTGATAAGATGCATCCCAGAGTCCTGAGCAAATTAGCTGATGTCTTTGCCAAGCCACTCTCCATGATATTCGAAAAATCACAGGAATCACAAAATAGAAAGGAAAGTACAGCCTTCCTGTATTTGCACACTCCCTTACACTGCTTAGAGCTGCATCTACCCCCTGAGCAAGTAATTGCCAGAAATTGCATGCTCGTGTTTTTGTGTCATCAGGCTTTTCCTAGAGTTTTGTGACTACCTCTGATTTGCTCTCCTGTGATTTTGAAAAGTAGCCCTCTCTTGATAACTCCTGAATGACTGCTATAAATCAAGTGCCATGGGGATTTTCTGGAGGACTGTGGCATGCTGCGAAATGGAGCTGAATGTTATATTTTTAATGAGATTTCAGGCTACAGCACTGTGCATTCATCAAATTCTTCGTAGACTGGTAAATAACCTTCTGTGACTCCCAAAACTAAGTGTGGAAAGCTGTCTGGTTCTTTGCTCCAAGGATCCCTCTCTTGGCACTGATTTGCTCTCACAATTGCTCTGTGTCAGCCCATGTGGTCTGCATTGTGAGAACTTCCTTTCTGCAGCAACATTCTTGCTATTACTGAAATACTGTTTAGGGTAAAGGCCATTTAGTGAATGCCAGCATTCATTCATTCAGAAGTTTAATGTTAGCATTTTCTGTGCTTGGTACTGCCAAGTGCCAGGCTCCCTGATCCTGATTAGCAAGGCATTTAAACTTACCCATGAAGCTCTCCATCAGTGCTCACATTGATTTCTGTGGAGCCAATTACCCACTTAAACTTTCAAAAGACACAAAAATAATTAGGTTGGGGGTGAAAGCACTCCACTTAAAGAGAGGATTCTTTGTTCTTATATCTGTGGGGAATCAGACAAAGTAGGAGCAAGTGTACTGCACACAGAGAACACAGAGTCAAGTTTACTGTAACATAAACATCACTACTGGAAATTTTAAGAGGTTTTTCTTTTAAACCACTATTTTTGTAGAAGAACCTTAGTCTACTTATAATTAAGTCTTAAAACCAGGGAACCATTTAAGCTTCATAGCTGGTAATTTGAGGTCTTCATGTGAATGTATTTTCCTATATCAACACTAATTTATTCTGGGGAAAAAAAAAAAGTTTCCTATTATAAGAAAGATCTGTTCCTATGGGGTTTCTCTTGAAGTGCAGACAAAAGTAGGGCTTAAATTTAAACTGAAATTGCCAGGCATGGATTCTGAATTGTAGGTTGCTTTGTAAGTTAAACAATCCAAATTCAGACTAGTCAAAAAATTGAAAATTCTTCATTTGAATGGGATATTCCCATTTACATCACTTTTAAAAAATGTGCAAGAAGCATTGAACTTCTGATGGAGCCTCAGTGAATTTCCTCTATCTTCCTGTGAAAAAACATGCATACCTTGGGCTGGCAAGTGCCAGCAAATAAATGCAGTGAGTGCTAATTCTTGTGAACTAACTGGGTATCTCCATGCAAGTGGATTTTTTATGGACTCACATTTATGTAGTGGCAGACTAAGTATTTGGCATGGACATTAGGGGCCTATTTTTAAGTATTCCTGTGTTTATTTTTCTTTCAAATGCTGCTGCAGTGACAAGTTACTTGTACTTAACCAGCAATTTTGTATCTTTCCCCAGTAGACTAAAACCAGAGAGTAGATATAAAGAGAAATTATAAGAGGCAAAAAAAAAAAATTCCATTGCATAAAAAGGGAAACAGACTGCACATTTCTCTGTTTGCATGGCCCTTTATACTGGTTAGGACTGAAGCTACCTCCTTGCAGTTGTTTATCTTACATGTGTTAAGCAAAATGTACAGTACAAATGGGTTGCTGTGCACTGTGTCTGCAGGTGAGAGGGAGAACAGATGCAGGGAGATGCTGTAACATGCACTGCCCAAAGAATCAGGTGTTGGTTAGAGTGGCTCACTGCTCCTGGCATCTTCCCGGAAGTGTATGAGAGGACTTTGGGAACAGATCTGTACCTGCTCTTTGCCTTGAGGGGGTGGTGGCTGTTCATGTGGATGATTTTTTTTCCCATCAAAGAGAATACTTTTGAAAAGGCAACAGGGGAGCTCCTGGGAAGCAACCTCTTGGTGGCTTGGGCTTGGAGGGTTGAGGCAGGATTTGGGAGGGCAGGATATGCCTCAAAGACAAGCAGTGCATTTAACATCAGTGCAAGTGCTGAAGTTTCCAAGTTACACAAGTATTTGCATACACGTGAAAACTGAGCCAAGCTCCACGGTCAAGTAAGATGAGATTAAAGAAGAGGAAATATGTTCCCTGGGCATTCTAAAAAGGATAAGTGGGATGTGCTGCTGTGTGACTCGTGCTTGCAAGCTTGGCTGTTGAGAATTAGTATCAGAAATGGGATTTGTCTAATACACATTGACACTAGGTGAGAAGGATCATTTTCCTGATTGTGTATGGGACAGGGTCTCAGAATGGGTGTCCTATCTTGTTTTGCTTTTTTGTTTTGTGGTGTTTGGGATTTTTAATTTATTTTTATTTTAAAATTTTCTTTCTCTGTTTCACTTGTTTCTGGCAATGTAACTTGTTTCAGGTTTCTGTGACTTCTGTATTCTATTTTACACTTCTAATCTTGGTTTTGATGTCTTAGTAAAGCCTCCAGGACCAGGCTTCTGTTTTCCTGTAATTTATTTACTGTTGCCTCCTTTTTCTACATGTTGTTTCTTTTCCACTTTTTTGGCCTCCTTGTACATTTTTAGCTTGGAGATGGCTCGGTGATCCTTGTCCTTTCCAACTGAGAAGATTCTATTGTTCTGTGATTTCTTTCTCTTTTGTAGAGAAGGTTGTGTTTTAGGCCCTGCTCCAGAGAGTAATTTTGAAATAATCTGATTTGGACTGCTGATACATTTAAACGTTGCTTTACATTTAGCACTTATTTGAATCAGCAGACTGGTACACATTAATTTTACTACATAAAAGTGTCTTTCTAGTTTTACTGTTTGAAACCAAGAGTGCTTTGGAAGTTTTTAGCTGCAATGTCTTATTTTATGTATTGTTTTAAAATTTAAATTAAATTTAAAAGCTTTGATCCATAAAACAACTAAATATTCCTGCAAAATATTTCTGCATGTGTAATTATCTATCAACAGCTATCAGTTCCAGAAGGTGATACTTACTTAATAGTCTGCTTTATGCTGATACAACATCTTCCTCTTAAGTTTTCCAATAGTTTAAAAATTGTGATTAAAACCACTCTGAGACATAGGAATTAATGTTTGTGTGAGTACAGTAGGATATCAAGAGGTTAAATGACTTACCAGATGAGTGGCAGTCTCAGTCTCCTGACCTAGCCCCAGAACTGCCATTCCTTTCTAAATAAGTTATTTTTTCAGGAATGCAAAAGCAAAACCTTTGACATTTATTATTCTGATGTGTGTCTGTTCTCAGGACATTATATTTCTGTGGATACATCTTATGAGGGTGAGAAAGCAGTGCTGTACAGCCCAGATCTGTACTCGGAGGAGTGGAGCTGTGTCAGACTGATTTATCAGCTAGCAACGACTTTAGAGACTTCACATGATCCCACCAGGCTTAACCTGTACCTGAGGCAGGAAGGAGAAAGTTTTGATCGTTTGCTGTGGTCAGCCAAGGAGCCCTCAGACAGCTGGCTCATAGCTAGCTTAGATTTAATGAACAGCACAAAGAAGTATAAGGTAAGCTCAATTTCAGAAGATGCCACAGACTTTCTGGTGCATATGCTGGGGTGTACAGACTTTTTTTTTGACATATTCAAACTATTTTGAGCCCTGTTCTTAACTTTCATCTCTAAGGCTGGCAGCACATCAGTCAGTCAACCCCTCTGTCTCCAGCACTCATGAGCAGGGCTGGCATGAGGCTGTGTTCTGACCAGCAAAGGTGTGGAGCAGCTCCCGGGGATGCATGGCTGGCTGAGCCCTGTCGTGAGGATGCCTCACCTCCTGGCATCCCTGTGGAGCTGCTGGTGCCACGTGCAGGTGTGGGACCTCCCCAGTCCTGGACCTGCAGCTGCGCTCACTCATTCCTGCCCTCTGCGACTTTTGGGAAAGAGTCAGTTGCTGACAGGAGAGTATTTCTACCCAAAAATCATCACATCGCATCACTCACAATAAGATCTTGAGTAACCACAGCTAAGGAATATGGAATTCATTACTCTTAAATGAAGTGTGGGAATTTTTTGCCTTGTCTCATTGTCCTTCAGTGTGCCTTCTGTGCTCAAGGAAGAGCATTGGCTATGTCTTTGATGCATTCTGCCAAGCTCTCCTTCAGCAAAAGCAGCTTTCCTGACTGTAAGGATGACGAGCCCCCCACATGTATTTAATTCATTCTCCTGTTTATCCTGTTTAAATATTTGGGATAATGAAACCCTAAAATTCACAGCTTGGTTTATATTTTACAGCTTGTACTGGAAGGTGAAATGGGACAAGATAAATCTGGCAGTATAGCAATTTTTGAAATCAAAATAACTCCTGGATATTGTATGGGTAAGTACTTTCTGCTCAACCCTTACATTCCCTGCATAAAAAAAAAAAAAAGCCTTGTTGGTAGTTATAAAGCTGGATTAAAGGTCTGGGTTTAGAGAAAAGACAATGGCTTTTTCCTTATGGACTGCCATATTCAATATAGATGATTTTTTAAGCTAAGATTACACACACTAATAAGTGCGATTTTTTTCACCTGTCTCTCTGATATGCATAAAAATATGACATAAAATAATTAATTTCAAAGTTATTTATTGTCCAAGCAAGAACAAGGGTTATTTTTTAAAAAAATTCTGCACTGCTGAAAATTCTAGACATAACAGTTGCAATATTATTTCTACTCTTTGACTGCTCGTGCTTCTGTACAGTGGCATCTTGCAGGCTGCAGAGCCAAAACTCTGTTGATATTTACACTTACTGCTATTTCCTCGTGACATTTGCCAAAAACTGCTAATGAAGTTCAAAAATTTTAGTGTCTAGGAAGCTGAGAGACCTTTGCATTTCTGGAGAGGTCTGGCGGAGTCCAGAAAATTGTAACAATTCTTTGGCTTTATGAAGGAAACAAAGCAGCTGCATTACTGTTATGAAATACTTATCCTGTGTTGTTTCTAGCTATCCCTGATTTACAAGTGAATGTTCTGCTCTAAGCATTTAATACCATGAAGTGGTATATTTTAAATCTGCTTTATTTGATTCTAAATTAAAGCAGTCTTATATTGACACATAATGGAAAAGCAGATTGGTCCAAAGAGGGTGGATATGGAAATTTTATCAAAAAATGATAAAAAATGGGGGCTAAGTTTACTTCTGTTTATTATGAGCTCATAAGTGCTGTGTCCAGTTTTATAAATATAGGCATTATCTGCACTGCCATATGTGAAGTGAGGCTAGTGCTTAGCAATTTGCTCTTGCCATTTCTGTAATAAAAATGTGTGCACTTAGCTGATGGTGTCTGCAATTGCAGAATGTGACTTTGAAGAAAATCATCTTTGTGGTTTTGTGAACCGCTGGAATCCCAATGTCAACTGGTTTGTTGGTGGAGGGAACATTCGCAATTCTCAGTCTATCCTGCCCAAGGACCACACACTTAACAGTGCACTGGGTAAGCAACAAATGTAGAGCAAAAAGTTACTGGAAAAATCTGGGTCTGTGATTCATGTATGACTCTCATTCTGTGAGTTATTATTACATGAGTTCTTTCTTTTCTCCTGACATTGCAGGGGATGGGGTGGTAAGAATGATTCAGGAGATAAAAAGGGATTAGAAAAAAGTTGGGGGAATATGCAGGCATTCACACAAAATTTCATATAAGCTTTATAATAATGTTGTTATGCTCCTTGCTAGGATTCAAAAGTATGCAAAGTAAGGGTAAAATTATGAATGGAGAGGAGCAAAATTCACCCTTCTGTGTATTTTAAAAGTATGAGCCACACTAAGTTTTAGATTCTTGTACATCTGGCAGGGGTTTTCTTTCCCATAGTGTAGTGGGTTGACCCTGGCTGGATGCCAAGTACCCACTAAAGCCACTCTCTCACTCTCCCCTCTGCAACTGGACAGAGGAGAGAGAAAAAACCCAAACATCTAGGGATTCATGAGTTGAGATAAGAGTTGGGAGAGGTCAGTTACTCATTATCCTCACAGGCAAAACAGACTCAAAGTGGGGATAGTACTTAAATTTATTACTAACAGGATAAGAGACAAAAAGTGAGAAGTAAAACAGTCCTAAAAACACCTTCTCCCCACCCTCCTTCCATGTTCTCCCTCCTCCTGTTCACCAGTGCAGGGGGATGGCGAATGGGGGTTACAATCAGTTGCTGTTTCTGCCACTGCTCGGAAAGAGGAGTCCTTCCCTTGCTCCTGTAAAGACTTACAGGAATTTTGGCACTTGCCTTGTGTGAAATCCTTGTCCTGGACACCACTGAGAGAAGAGCTTTTTACATAGCCACGGAGAAGGGTTGGGATGATAACTTCCCCTTTGCACAAAGTTCCACAGCAGGTGATGGTCGGAACACCTGGCTGCTGCAGCACACTGTGTATCTCAGACAGCATGATCCGTGTGACAGTGAAAGGCATCATGAAAAGCAGGGTTGCTCCTCTTTCCTTAACTCATGCTGCTGTGCCTTTTTATTTCTTTCACAATTGTGTGAGTTGAGTACAGAGTCCAACTCCATTCCTGTGTCACCCCCCAGCACCTAAATGTTGGTAAAATTTTGATGGAAGTTTAACTCACCACAACTTCAACAGCAGACAGTGGGTCAACCTACTGAATGTGTACTGTGACAGGAAATGCTGCCAACTGGGAGGGATCTGTTTTCTTATAGCCACAGCATTTCTATTTCATACCAAACCTTCACTGCTGACCATTGACTGAGAAGGAGCAGGAAGCCTAAAGTCAAGAAAGAGCCTTCTTTTTGCAAGAATTGGGCTAGGAAAGTGCATCAGCCAAGGAGATAATAGCTAAGCTATGAAATGTGCTAAAACTGTAGAGCAAAAGTGAAGCTGAGAACTTCTCAGGCAAGTATCACTTAAGTCACTGCTCCCCAGCAGTGGGCAAGCTAGAGGAGACCCACAGCCAAGCAAACCCTTTCCACTCCTTTCACTGGAGTGAAGGGAGAATTGACATCTACAGGTCTGAGAACATTATGAGCTAATTATCTGAGCTTTCTACTTGTGAAGAACCATTTATTGATTCATCATATACTGTTCGGTGCTGTGTTCCTGGGAGTGCAGAAGAAGAAAAACTAGAGATGCACATCATGTTTGTGAACACAGGTGTGGCCTATTTAAACTGAGATTACTCTTCCAAAATCAAAGTCTTAGAAGCTGTACCCTTTGAAAATCCTGAAGGTTATATTGGCTGTTGAGGGGGAGGGAGTCTACTCATCTGTAATGCACTTTTCTGTTTATTAACGTTTCCGAATAGTCTTCTTTAAGGATTTTAAAAAGAACCTCCATTCTATTCAGTAAAGATAAAACATGTATAAACCAAATCCTAGATAGACCAAGTAGAATTACACAAGCAGTGTCATGTGCAGATAAAAGGTTATTTGCCAATTAATTTGATATATTAAATGAATTGCTGTGTAAAATGTGAGAAAACACATGGCTTCTAATTTTGATCATTTACTTTGATTGCCTCAGTAAAGGCTGCACTTGAAAAAAGACAAAATACTATACTGAGGTGTTGGAAGGCAGACATTTTACACAATTGTTACACATTTTTTTATTTCTTAATGGCTCTCAAAATTATACTTTTTTTTATACTTTTTAAGTATAAATATAAATAAATATTTATAATAATAACAAATATTAGAGAAAGAGCTGAGACTGACTGTTTTGCCAGTGGTACCTTAATCAAACAACTTTGGCTTGTCCATAGGAGGAAAGGAGAAAAAAAATATCTTTTAGAATGACTAAAATTTACTAGGAAGTAAAATTTCTTGTCCAGGCCATGTAGTCTAAGCCATATGTTTAGTCCCTGTTCATCTCCTGATACTGTGAGATACTATAAGATAATGTGACTTATACGAAGTTTCTTTCCTTCTCATAGGTCACTACATGTATGTGGACTCTGTTTATGTCAAAGATTTTCAGGAAGTGGCCCAGCTAATCTCACCAAAGACAACAGCCCCAATGTCTGGATGCTTATCTTTTTACTATCAACTTAAGCAGGAGAGCAGCATCGTTTTTACTGTTTACTTGAGAGACGTGAGTGGCTTTTATGAAGAGATCTGGAAAACAGACACTGCTCTGAGTACAGACTGGGCACTGGCAGAAGTTGACTTCAATGCACCATACCCCATGGAGGTAAAGCAATCCTGCCGGTACAGGCCAGCTGTGACTTCCTGAAAAAGCTGGCAGCCCACGGCTTGGACAGGGGCACTCTGTGCTGAGTTAAGAACTGGCTGGATGGCCGGGACCAGAGAGTGCTGGTGAATGGGGCTGCACCCAGTTGGTGGCCAGTCAACAGTGGTGTCCCCCAGGGACACCAACTGGATGTTGGACCCAGTTCTGTTTAATATCTTTATAGATGATCTGGATGAGGGGATTGAGTCTAGCATTAGTAAATTTGCAGAGGACACCAAGCTGGGGGGAGAGTGTTGATCAGCTGGAAGGCAGGAGTGCTCTGCAGAGGCACCTGGATAGGCTGGAGAGTTGGGCTGACTCCAATGGGATGAAGTTCAATAAGGCCAAGTGCCGGGTCCTGCACTTTGGCCACAACAACCCCCTGCAGCGCTACAGGCTGGGCACAGAGTGGCTGGAGAGCAGCCAGGCAGAAAGGGACCTGGGAGTGCTGATCGACAGGAGGGTGAACATGAGCCAGCAGTGTGCCCAGGTGGCCAAGAAGGCCAAGGGCATCCTGGCCTGAATCAGGAACAGTGTGGCCAGCAGGAGCAGGGAAGCGATTCTTCCCCTGTACTCAGCGCTGGTGAGGCCACACCTGGAGTGCTGTGTCCCGTTCTGGGCCCCTCAGTTCAGGAAGGACATTGAGGGGCTGGAGCAGGTCCAGAGAAGAACAACCAGGCTGGTGAAGGGACATGAGCACAAGTCCTGTGAGGAGAGGCTGAGGGAGCTGGAGTTGTTTAGCCCAGAGAAGAGGAGGCTCAGGAGAGACCTCATCACTCTCTACAGCTACCTGAGAGGAGGGGGGAGCCAGGTGGGCATCAGTCTCCTCTCCCAGGCAACTATCAGTAAGGCAAAAGGGCATGATTTTAAGCTTTGCCAGGGGAGCTTTAGATTGGATATTAGGAAGAAATTCTTTACAGAGAGGGTAATCAGGCATTGGAATGGGCTGCCCAGGGAGGTGGTGGATTCTGTGTCCCTGGAGGTTTTTAAGATGAAACTGGATGTGGCACTCCGTGCCATGGTCTAGTAACTGTGGTGGTAGTGGATCAAGGGTTGGACTTGATGATCTCAGAGTTCCAACCTGGCTGATTCTATGATTTTATTCTATGATTCCAGGTTGCCTCAGATATGAGTGCCAACTAAGGCTAAGCCAGGAACATGGCAGTGACCATCCAGTATCCGAAAGATGGTTATAAAGATGCTGGTGATCTGTGGTTTTCTTTGTCCTTTGCTTAAGGGTCAAGAGGGGATCACTTTCCATACTTGTGCTTGATTTTGAAGTCAGGTGTTGTAGTGCTTGATCAGAATACCTTGGGAGGTTGTAGAGTCCTATTAATGTGAGGTTTTTCAGTTGCGACTGAATGATGCCAATATTCTCTCAGTCCCATATTTCTGTGACTCCTTGATCTGTTTTTGAGGATGCTGAGTATCATAAAGATGACAATTTTTAAAATATATTTGAGGTCTATTCTCTACCTTAATATGACCCTGCAATTCATGAGATGGAGTCCAAACTTGGGTCCTAGTAGTACAGTAGTCCTTAGAGGTAAAAGACAGTTCTCAATGGTTATTATAATGACTTTCAAGAATATCAGAAATAAATTGAAATCTTTATTCGCTAGTATTTACTAAGAAATACCCCAAACTTAGGAGATTGAAATAAACAGTGTATATATATTATATACATACATATATACTTAGCATGTATATTTATATGTATATATACATGTATATAATTTATAAATATATAATTTATATATATATATACACATACACAAAAACTCTCTCCCTATATATATACTTGTAATACTATGATTACACATAAATTCTGTCTATTTGCTTTAATTCCACCTAAGTTATTTACTAATTCATTATAAGCCTGCAGATTTTCAGAAATTATGAGGGGTAGAACTAATTTTCATGAAATGTAATGTAGCCCTTTAGTACTCTAAAATGTCAGTGATCAAGTCATCCATTTCAACTGTCCAACTTCAAGGGAAAGGAGAGTAGCTTTGATAAAGCCTCATAATATTGAATGGTAAATGAATTACTGACTTAATAAGTACAAAGGAAGAGGTCAAAAACAGTCCTCGCACTATCAATTGGAATTAATTAATGATCACAGAGGTTGGCATTACTGGGGTTAGTTTTGTGAAAATATCCTCTGATTTCTTAGTGGCATTCAAAAAAACATACAGAATGTTGCAAACTATCTATGCTGGAATAAACAGCAAAGCAGAGGAAGTTGTACCTCTGGATGAATGCACATGGGCACCCTTGTGATAAGCAGGGCATGCAACTTGAGCCCTCTGAATTAAAAAAGAATATCTTAGAACTACAAGAGGGAGAGATGCAGATAATCAAAAGTATGGAGAAGTTACATTAATGAAATAGCAGTTTTCAGCTCTTAAAAAAGTTTGAAGTAGAATATGATGGAAGTTCTTAAAAGTCATGAATAACACAGAAAGTATAACTATGCCCTTTTTCTCATAGTTTACAGTGCTGTTCCAAATTCTTAGTTACCAGGTAAGTTTTTAACTGAGTATTTTTTCTTATATGACATATTTATAGAACTCACTTCCACAGCATGCTATGGATGCCATTATTTGAATCAGTTAAAAAACTAATTAGAAAAATTAGTGGGAAAGAAAGAATCCATCAGGAATGGAATGTGAGGGAAGAAGAACTGAAAGTCTGGCATTGTCTTCAGTTCTCTTTGTAGATGCTCTCTGTTGGAAAAAGTTTGGACTAGATGGGCCTTTAATCTTCTCAAGGAATTTGTATGTAATCCAACAGTAATTATTTTAAAGATTATTTTATAGAAATGTGATTAAACCCTGCATATAATTTCTTCAGTAGCTTCAAGAGAGTCTTCCTCTGTTTCATCTGGCTAAAGGAGATTGCTCAGAGTTCTTTCACAGCTCTCCTACTTTGGCTTCCATCCATAGGCAAGACATCACAAGCATTGCTTTCACTGAACAGGATCTTGCTCTGAAAACACTTGTCTTCAAAACCTTGGGGTTGCCTTGGGATTCAGGTGTCTTCTTGAAGTTTTTCTGTAACTCAGACTTTTGATACTTATGAGAAATTTTAAGACACTTCCTCAAGAGTTACAGACTGTCCTCCACTTACTTGAGGAAATTATGTCCTTTGGGAGTAACTAAGTACAAATATTGTTTGATCTTTGTGGTAATCAAAACACAGCAATAGCTTTTCTGGTTCTTAAATAAATTTTCTAAAGGAAGTCTTCCCTGCCATCTGATGCCAAGTCATGGGTTTCAGTGTCTGAGGATGTTTACAGAAAATAGTTAAATTTAATATTTTAACAGCAGAGTAATGAACAGAGAGGGTTTTTAGCTCTTGATCCAGATAGGTTTTAGATACAGTAATAATTAGGCAGCTTTGGAGTTCTAGTCAGTACAGATTTTGAATACTGTCTTTGTATGATATGGCAGAAGCCTTACTGCATCTTTAAAACTGGTGCTTCATAAAGCAGCAGAAGAGCTATGTTCCCTTTGTTTTTTCCTTGACCCTGAGTGGACAAAGATCTGGTGCTGAGGTCAGACTGATTTATATCCCTAATAAGTGATATAATTTAATTTTTCCTAAAATTTGCAGTGCTGGAGTCTGTCTGGGACATCCAATCAGAATTCTTTATTTCAAAGTTGTGTACCAAAATTATTGCTGAGTATATGGCAGATGAATAACAACTTACTATAATTTCTAGGTAGTATATGAAGTTGCTTTCAACAGCGCCAAGGGAGGTTACGTTGCCCTTGATGACATTTCTTTCTCTCCGGTTTACTGCAGCAATCAGACAGGTATGATGAGCTCTTATTGCTATTTACCGTCCTTCTTTTCCCCCCTTGCTCTGCCCCTCTGAAATGTCGGTATTTGCAATATTTGATGCTACCTTCTCAGCTGACCACTCCCACTGGGCTCCTTTACCTTCTGGTGACATAACAGCAGATATGTCTGGTGCCATTCATTTCATCCAGAAACTAGTCCTCAATGCTTCTTTTCAAAAGACTTTGCCTCAGGGTTTTGCAACTGGAGTGCCAGACTGAATGCTGTATTTGCATCACTCCACATTTTAAGAAATTACCACTTGCAGGCCTGTCACAGAAAGAGAGGGCAGATTTACCAGGTGTGATGGTATAAGGAAGAAAATGTCCTGGGCTTTTCATTAGCCAGTGTAGGCGTTCTTCTTCATTCAGTAGGCCCTGAGGTGTTCTTCAGAGCCAAAACATGAGGCTTGCCTTCCTGTCTTCACTCTTCCAGGATGTATTACTCATCTCAGACAGTTGCATGGCTGTCAGGTTTTTATTAGGTTTTCACAGCAGCAGACATCAGTTGAATCCATGTGACCTTTGCTGTAGAGGCAGCTGGGGCAAAGGATTTTGTCATTTGTGAATTCAGCCTCTTAAGTACTATGTACTGGATGCTGGGGCTTTACTGGAGCACTTAACACTAGGTGAAAGTAAATTAGTGGTTTCCCACCTATTTCTTTGGTCATAAGTTTGAATTTTTTGGCTAATGCTTTGAAGTGATCAAGGAAAAAAAAAGGTTTTTTGCCCATTTTATTTGCTTGGAGAATCTGCTAGCTCTGCCTCCACTGCTGAAGTATCACTCCTGAAGAACGTAGATTCCAGACAGTAATCCACACAACTCCTGACTGAGTAAATCTGGTTGTTTCATTATCTCCTCAATACATCTTTCAGTTTTGCTTGGTTTTGCAACAAAAATCCCATGTTATGTTTGTGGTATTCCAGGGATTGGAGCTGTGTGCTCATTTGTGTTTTCCATTTTCATTTTCAGACAGCTTATATATGTGAAGATATGGGATAAAATTTATAACATTTTCTGTCTCAATGGTTAAAATTCAGATTTAATCTGAATGGCTCATAATCTATTCTGAATATGATAGGTTCAACTACTAACTCTGATTTTGAAGGCTGGTTTTGTTGTTGTTTTTTTTTTTTTTTTCTGTTTGAGAAATGAATGCAAATAATTTGGTTTATATCTTGCTGGAGTACAACATATACTGTTTTATCCTTTAGACTTATCATATTTTCATCTTCAGTTCTTCTGAGTAGAGACCGTAAAAAACAAGAGATCTTGTATTCAGTCATAACAGTGTTTATAACAGCACTACATTTTTTCCTTATTTCTTCTGGAAGTTTTGTTTCAAAAGGTACCAGAGCATTAAACTTGCTCAGCAAAGAATGAATCAGAACATGGGTTTAATGCTGCATGGACCTGGCAGTGCTACAGCTGCATTTTCTTTAACTAGGAGAGCAGAAATGAGAGGCCATGGCTGCAGGCAGAGTAAGATACACAGGGCTTAGATTTGGCCTATCTGAGGCTGAAAAGACCACAGACATCACTCCAAAGCCAAAATTTTGCTTCTCCTGAAACTGACTGCCTGTGTCCCTGCCCCTGTTGGAAATCTCTCCTAGTCCCCATGAGGAAGGGTCACATGTGCTGCTGCAGAGTTATGTGCACAGTGTCCTGTGTCTGGACTCCTGATGTAGACAAAATTTGCATGATGGCTTTGGACTGTGCCTCTCCTTCCTCCAGCATCCTGATGAAGCTTTTGAAGTAGAAATGCTTTACTTACAAGCACTCATTCACCATGGGGACTTTTTTTCAGACTAAAGCAGATCCTGACCTATGAATTCCATATTGCAAGTCAAGAGAGAGGCATCTGCAGGGCTGGGGGACTTAGCTTTGCTTTTTATCAACTTTGCTATAAATTGTTCAGCTTTCCTCACTGCTAAAGTGCTACAGTACGTGAGGCAAGCTCCAAAGGTCAGTAGCCATGAGGTGGTACATGAATTAAAAAGTGTTTTACTTACATACTTACAGCATGCATTTGCACACACATTATACATGATTACAAAGGGATTTTTAAAAAATACTCTTTAAAAAAATATTGAATGTTGATGTCCAAAAGTAATACCTCTGAAACTAAAATGAAAATATAGTATCTATACACACACAGGCACACACACTTATTTTGTCCTAATATCTTTAGAGTGAAGGAGCAGGTTGAAAACAAATGGTCTGAATGTCTTTGTGTGTTATGTCCTGAAAGAGGAATCTTCTCTTAGTATCTGTAGCTCATTTTATATTTTAAAGGGGCTATGAAGGAGGTTTCCTCTTGGCTCCAGCAAAAATATAAGAATATAAGACCAATTTGCAATAGAAAATTGATAGTTTTATTTCATTGTGACTTTGTACTTTGTATATATGTTACATCTTTGCACGTGTTTATCTTCTGTAAAGCAAAGAAAGGCGAAGCAGAGCATGCTTTGGCATCATTCTGCTTCAAATACCTATGCTTATTACACTGTGCTCTTCCTAACAGAACATATACATCTATCTTTTAGGAACTCCTTTCGATCCTGCCAATGCAGGCTGCAATTTTGAGGAAGATCTGTGTAATTTTTACCAAGATCAAAAAGATGGCCCAGGATGGAGCAGAGTGAAAGTGAAGCGCAATGTTTATAGAGCAGGAGATCACACTACTGGGTTTGGTAAATCAAAACTGCTTTTCTTCAGAAGAGTAAACACATATAAAGGATATATAAAAGCTTATATAAAGTTTAACCTGTTGTATCATTGTTCACTCTGTTAAGTAATGTCACTGGCACACTGGTTAGTTTGTGTCACTGCAACTCTGCCATTAAAAATCAGTGTACACAACTTGGTCCTATCTGGAACCCTGGCTGTGATTCCCTATGTGTAAAGTGGGAAGGAAGGTCACCTATTGAATAGTCATGCGGGGCCGTAAAGCAGAGTGTCTTCACTATACTGCTCCATAGTCACTGGAGGGATGATTCCACAAAAATACGCAAGTAAATGTAATAATACCTTAATGCATTGTTTTTACTGTAGTGGAAAGGTGGGCTCTTCCAGGCTTAGGATAGTTGGCATTGCTAAGGGAAAACTGACATATTGTGTAGCGAAGCCACATAGTGAAAGGACTACTAGCAAGTTCTGAAACTCAGACATCTATTTACGTAGAATATTTATGGTTATTAATCACATGTGCTAAAGTCTCACCTCTTTATACTTGGTGCAGGGAATAACAGGCCTTGTGCCTTACCTTCCATTCTTTGATCTTGCAGTGGTACCCTTGAAACAGCCAGTGTCCAGTGAGGACAGCAGAAGAGGGAATTTTTTAGGGTAAATTTAAAAAGGGCTTTTAGCCATGTGCCATTTGAGCTAGAAGTAGACAGAATGCTTTTTAAAAAAATTGTTATTTCCTGTCAGAGTGTGATAATCTATTTCTTGCCAGTTGAAACTGTTTCTTGTAGCCAAAGTCTGATGCAATAACAGAAGCTGCTTTAATAGCAAATCAGTGGTGTTGATAGCATATTAGAAATAATAATTGTGCTCTCTTTCAGGTTATTACCTGTTGGCAAACACTAAATATACAACACAGCCTGGGTACATTGGACGTCTGTATGGCCCTACCCTGCCAGGAAACTTGCAGTTTTGTCTGAGTTTTTATTATGCCTTATATGGGTTTTTCAAAATGAGTGGCACTCTTGCAGTTTATATCTTTGAGGAGAATCATGTCGTTCAAGAGAAAATCTGGTCTGTCTTGGATTCTCCAAAGGGAGTTTGGACTAAAGCTGAAATCTCCTTCAAAAAGCCTATGCCTTGCAAGGTAAGAGCCAGCTCTTCAAATCTGCTAAATCCTGAATGGAGATTTTCCCTGCCTTCTCTTCTCATGGTTTGTTATCCAGGGATTAATCCTAAGTGAGCTGTACCTGCAAAGTGAAACAGTATTCCTACCATGGGGAGCAGAATGTTTCTTCACAGCCTGGCTCCCATGGGAGCCCCAATACAGGGACTTTGTACCAGGAATGGGGCAGTGCTTCCTGGTGTCCTCAACTGTAGTCATAATATTGCTGGAGATTTCACCAGAGGAGCTCTAACAAGAGCCAGTTGTGTCTTGGTTTCTCAGCATGCTCCACTTTCCATCGTTTTTGTTTGCTTGTTTCCTATGCTAGTCACATAATTTTTACTCAATTTCAGATTTTAATTAATCTAAAAAGTCGCTACTGGTAAGTTCTGGTCAAGATAGGGAGCTGATCCTACTTCCCTAAACTCAACTGCTTTGTTAGAATATGAAACCAGAATTCAGTGCAATGGACTTCAAGAATTTGCAGTGTTGTGTTGGAGAGGTCACTGTGTTATCTCTGCAAGTTAATAACGCAGTATTTGACATCACCTCCCAAGTAAGTCCTTAAGCTCTTGTTATTCCTCATCTCCACTCTTCTTACAAAGACTGACTTCTACACAGATTTCTGTAGGCACTGTCTCTGTGGTTATCCTGAATTTTGTAATGCATTTCCACTATCTGTGAGTCATCTAAGGAGGACCAGATGGATCACTACCTGCTGACATTTAGATAAATCCAGCTTTTTTTCTATGTGATAGTACGATGAACATATGGATGAAAGTGTGTATTGCAACTCAGGCATTTCTAAATCAAAGACAAACATCTTCAGCATGTTTGTCCACTACAAATTGGTTTTTGAAACGGCAGTAGTTACTGAGTTTAAATTTTCTTGGGGCAGGAAAAGAAAGGTGTTTTTCCTTTGAAATAAAAACGCTCTAAAAGAAGTTCACCAAAAACCAGTTGCCTGACTGTATTGATAGGCAAATTTATGCTAAAAATTTCAGTCCTAGTTGTTGGCTAGTGTTTTGTGTCATATACCTGATACCTTAAAAAATTGATGGGATTTTATGTATTTTATGCATAAAACATAGCAGAATTTCTAATTCTCTTTACTTCATAGCACAAAAAAAAAAAATATTACTGCACAGCAAGTGCATGGTAGATAAGTTTCTCATAGTGTCATTCCAGGATATTTGCAGAAAAGTATTTTTCTCTTTTTTTTTCTTCTTTTTAATTATGAAAATTATTGGTTAAAAAGGCAACCCATTTACTTTTACCATCTACAGTTTACATATTTCTTTATTGCTTCTGCAAAGGTTTAGTAGCATAATAAACTGCACGAGTAATGATGACATCTGAGCAATTCTATTAAAAATGGTTTATAGCCATTGGAGGTGGCAGGTTTTTTTAGCTTCAGAAATTTACATGGAAAAATCTTTTCCCATATGAATTTGTGAAGTACAATTTTTATGTTTTCCTAGAAGTCAATATATCTAAAACAGTTGTAAAAAAGTTTACCTGCAATGGAAATCTTTTCATGAATTGCAGTTTTCATGTCTGTAGTTACCATTCTGTCTGTACTCAATAACTGATGGGGAGAAAAGCACAGAGGAGGATAAAGAAGTCAAGAGAATATCCTTGCTGCTTCTGAGCCTGAAGGTCTGCAGGAGGGGAGAAATGCCATGCTCTGCAGCAGGAGGGTTTGCTGGCCTCTGGCAGTTCTCAAAAACCTTCACTGCTCCTTCAGGTCTTCTGAAAGAAACCCTTCTTTCCCATGGAAACAAGTTGCAAAATGTTTCTGTTGAGGAGGCAGTCCTCTAATATCACGAAATGGGAGATGTATTGGGCTTTAGAGGAGTCAGCATGTATTCAGCCTATCACAATTCAGGCACTCCTTAGCCAAACAACTATATATTTGGCAGGGTTTTCAGTATGTGAAGTTTTCCTTTAGACAAATAGTACATGGAAGAAAATGGGTAAAGTTTTGAAACATGTTCATATGGAAAAGTACACCAAAATATGTTTAGAGATGAGAAGGTAGCATAAAAAAGACAAATATTGCTAAAGTTTGAGCATGTGTCTGCCTGCCATAAGGCAAGGGTTAAAGCCTGATGTAGTTACAGGTTGTCTACTTGTGATGTTCACAAGCAGGCTCAAGTAAGTTACACAGTGAACCTGATTCTGGCTTTTCCTTGCTACCTCATGCCCAATTTTCCAACCTTAATACTTTAAAAGGTCTTTTCATGCTTTATTTTGTTTGTTTCTTCTTTTCCATGCCAACAGAAGGATATGAAGGAGCTTATGTGGCATTGTATAAACACTTAGGTTAGTTATCTGTGAGGATGTGTCTGCCTAGCACCTAGTGAAATATCTGGCAAGAAACGCTCATTTCAGTGAAGGGTAGCAGTGGAGGTGCATCAGAGCACGTTTTCCCTGACAGCAAGGAGTGGTGGGGAACCAGCAAGTTGGGGATTACACTTCAGGTTCAGGAGGAAGAGACAGCATTGAGAAACACAAGAGAAGCTTGACCTCTCTTGTCCTGCCTCCTCCAACCTTCCTTGTGTCTCTTTCCTCCTCACTGAGGCATCTATATATTATCTAACCTACCCCATAGGCAACAAACCACTCTCACCCCACTCCCCATGCCAGTTCTCATCTTACTCCTGGCTCCTGGCTCTGGACAGTCCAATTTTTTCCTTTCTAATCTTATTCGTGTCCTCCTCTGCCCTGCTTGTCTCAGTTCTTACAAATTCTAGTTTTTCAAAAACTAATGACTTGACAGAAAGCACAGTTCTGGCACAATGACCAAAGTATGACACTTTCCTGCTTCTACTCCAAAGACTAGGAGTGCTCAAGCTTTTCACAGATTTTTTTTTTTTTTTTTTTTTTAATGGGGCAAAATAAACCCTTTTTTTCCTAGCCTTGTTCTTGGAAATGATGGAACTGTTTTGGATTAAATCGCTCAAAGCAAGCCTGAACTAAGGACCCAGCATGGAAAGTCTGAGCCAAAATAATTGTATCTTGGCAATGTTATAAGCAAGTGAAAAACAGTCTTCTAGTGGAGAGATGTGGTCCCAAAATAAGATAGGGCTGCCACCTTTCCTCTTACAGATGTGGTGGCCAGTGTGCCTATCATATTGTTTTCTGAGATGTCTCTTGTCTAGACGTGGATGATAAGTTGTACGCACACTAAGAGTTTGGCTGAGCAGCTTCTTTGTTACCAGGTGTGATTTGTAGATTGGGTCAGCGGCTCTGGAAACAGTGAACAGTCTCCTGGCAGTTCCTTAATGGCAGTCATGTGTCCTAAAGGTCATAATGGTTTTTCAGCCAGAAAGTGGTTCTGCTAAAATACCTGATTATCCATGTCCTTTATCTTTTTTTTCTCCTACTACGAGTACTACTTGCAAAGCTTTGGAAACAATATAAAATCTGTCTGATATGTTTTAATTTTGTTAGCGTGTTTGTTTGCATTGGGACAATAAAAAGAATCAGATTTTCATTTCTTGGTTTGTGTAATGGTTTTTGCAAGTTCTTTTTGAATTAGCTAACTGCAGTCTGGCGCAAGTTGATGGCTTGAATTCTGTGGGCAGGAAATGTGAAGCTGGCCAACTGGCTTCAATATGACACTTTGAAAATACAATGTTGTAAAGTCTATGGGTATGAGCCAGCTAAGCAAGTCATAAATGTTTATATATATATGTATGTATGTATGTATGTATGTGTGCATACATACTGCAAACACATATGCTATATAATGCTAGTGAGAAGGCAGGAAATTTGAAGTCCTGATTTCTCAGTTTGTACTTCAGGCATTGACTCTTTCAGTTGGTGTAAGTACCTCTGTGCCCAGGGAATAAATGTGAGAAGGAAGAAATGGGAAAAAAAAATCTGTCATTTTTTAAAATTAGTTAAACTGTTCATGGTTTGTTGCCTCTTGAAGGGCAGCATAAAAAGCCAAGTCTCAAATATGTAGATTCTTTTGATTTGATTGAGTGTACTGAAACTGATCTTCCAGGTCAATACATGACATGAAAATGTAAGAGCTAATTGAAAGAAAATTTCACATATGAAATGAAACCTGGAAAAGTTTGCATGCACTGTGGAGCAAGAATCTGCATTTTAGCATTTAGTTTGTGCATATACACAACCATGGGAGGTATTTCTTCAAAACAAAGTCCAAATGCCTAGGTTAAAGTGAAGGTTTGATTTCACCTGGGTTTGCTTATACCAGTTCTGCTCATTTCTGCTAGATATCTTTCACCATTCTGAAGCTCAGGTTCTCAAAAGCAAACATCTTGTGTTGTTTATCCAATCATGCAAGTTTTGACAATGTTACCTAATGATGCAGTACTTGAATACCTCTCACAGATTTCAAAATCAAATCCTCATAAAGGTAACTGGCATCATAATAATCCATTCTACTTTCATCAGAGTAGCTGTGGCAGCATTTCTTGGGTTTCATTCTCTCAGTATATGTTTCTCCCTCTTTGATGCTTTTTGCTCATTTTCTTTTGAGTTCATCTGTTTGTTTTCACTCTCCTTCATAACTAATTTTAGTTGCAGTTGTGAGAGAATAAAATCAAGTGACTGAGTGTTGCACTTCAATATTTACACGCTTTAAAACAAACAAAAGGGGTTAGACAAACTCATGGAAAATAGACCTCACAGTGATTGTAAACATAGTGGTTTAGCTGTGACCTCCAGTTCAGGAAATCCTTCAGCTTTCTGAGGATTGGACATAATATAACAGCTTTAGGGATGATTTGTTTCTTGTACTGTTTTCCCTAAACATCTGTTATTACCCTGCCACCTTTTTAGGACTTGATCTGAGGGTCTTAGGACCTTTGTTCTCACATCATAACCGTGATGATGCTTAATATTAAATTATTCTAGCATTTCTCTTTGCTAATGAGAAATTTGTGTCTCCTGCTTCTCTACCAAAGTCATAGACTCCTGTTACAGACCACCCAACCAGGATGATG